TAATCGATTGGCTGCTGTCCTACCTTCCCTGGTGAGTCACTCGCAGTCTGCTTTTATAAAAGGTCGTTATATTACTGATAATATCCTGCTTGCTTCTGAGTTGGTGAAGGGCTATCAATCAAAAAATATAAGTTCTAGGTGTGTGGTAAAAATTGACCTAATGAAGGCTTTCGACTCTGTGAATTGGGAGTTTCTTTTTACTGTTTTGATTGCTATGGGGCTACAAGGGAAATTTGTGAGATTGCTTAGGGCTTGTGTCTGCACCCCTATGGTCAGTGTTTCCCTCAATGGTGGTTTATGTGGGTTTTTTGGTATGAAAAAAGGGTTAAGGCAGGGTGACCCTCTGTCACCCTACCTGTTTACAGTTGCCATGGAAGTGTTGGATGGTCTAATGAAGAAAGCTGCTCGTGACAATCAAATACCTTACCATCCTAGATGTAAACCCCTAGCCATAACCCACCTTTGCTTTGCTGACGATTTGTTAGTATTTACAAATGGGTCGATCAGAGGGGTGGCGGGTATTATGCGGTTAATGGATGAATTTTATTGTTTGTCTGGCCTTCGGTGCAATCCAGCCAAATGCCAGCTATTCTGTGCTGGGATTCCAGAGGAGGAGAAGCAATCAATCTCTGTGTTTTCAGGGTATCCTTTAGGTCAGTTACCTGTGAAATACCTAGGTGTCCCTCTAATCACAAGCAAATTGTCTAGAAGAGATTGTCGAGTCTTGGTAGATAAAATAACTCATAGAATCCACAGCTGGAGGGCTAAACTGCTGAGTTTTGCGGGTAGAATTCAGCTTATCAGTTTGGTATTATCTAGCATTCTGCAGTATTGGATGAACATATTTCTTCTTCCTAAATTTGTCATCTCTGAAGTTGAGAGAATATGCAATCATTTTCTTTGGGATGTTACCGATGTTAGTCTACGCACTAGAGCACTGGTTGCCTGGGAGTTTGCTGCTCGCCCAACGAAGGAGGGTGGATTGGGGATCAGAAACTTTGTTGTCTGGAACAAAGCTTGTGTAATCAGGCATGTGTGGAGTGTTCTTGTTTCTAGTGGATCTCTTTGGGTTGCCTGGGTGCAACGATATCGCCTCAAGCAGAAGACGTTTTGGGATCTGAAAGAAGGAGCTGCTGGCTCCTGGGTATGGAAAAGATTGCTGAAGTGTCGAGCTGACATTCAACATCTTGTTTCAGTTCAGGGAGGAGTCACTCTTTGGGATGGTGAACCTATGGATCGGTATTCTGTGAAAAGAGTGTGGGAATCCATTCGTTTATCTAATCCTCCTGTGGTTTGGTATGAACTGGTCTGGAGTAAGGAAGTGATTCCTCGGCATGGTGTTATTCTCTGGTTAGCTATCCTAGGCAGATTGCGAACTCAGGACAAATTGCTTGCCTGGGGTAAATCGGTATCAGGATATTGTGTGTTTTGTCCAGGGGGGGAAGAGACTTGTTTTCATCTTTTCTACTCTTGTCCATTTATGCAGGCAGTTGTGCAAAGCTGCTTGGAGTCTTTAGCTCCTATTAGTGACCTGAATACATGGGAAGATGTCGTTGGCTGGTGTGCTAGTAAGTGGACAGGGAGGGGCTCTTCTGCAGTCGCCTGTCGTGCTGTTTGGAGTCTCGCCATTAGTCTTATTTGGCGGGAGCGATGTGCAAGAATGTATGAGGAGCACTCAGGGAAAAACCCAGGAGTACTTTGCCGTGAAGTTGGCAGAATCTTGAAGTGGCGTGCGGAGATTGATTTGGACCTTCAGAGGAGCCTTAACATGATCATATTAGTTTAATTTTGGTTTTGTGATTTGATTATACTGTATTTTCTGATTCGGTGAACTTTTGTTCTTGTTTGAGAGGCACAAGCTTTGCCTGAGCTTAATGAAGTTTTTTGATTACCCATAAAAAAAAAAAATGTTTAGAAGGTTTTCTAATTATTATATTAGATAAAACTTGTTGAAATATAGTTTTGGATGTTTTTAAAAGTTTTGGGTATGAAAAGGTAATTACAAGTTTGGGTTTGATGAAAAAGTAGACGAATGCACATTTTAGCGACTTTAATAGTACTCGACGTCTTATTCAAATTTAAATGATATGTCTAATCCAATTATCAAACTTAAATGGATCCGGAGGTATTTTACTCGATGTTAAGAAGAAGAATAATCATGTTGAAAAGACTCCTTCGGCTGAATGCAGAAAGCCCAAGACACTGGTTGACAATAAGATTGTGCAGAAAATGGGGGTTCGTTCCAATTGGCCCGTTAAATCCTAGATTCTCGCGAGTCGCGAGAAGTGAAAGAATTCTGGGCCTCAATCCAGCCCAAGTTTCAACCACAAACGGTGTTAGTTAAGTTCGTTCATCCTCTTCGATTACTGGGGTGCAGATACAATAACAACACTATAAGTGTTGTTATAGTAACATCAGGGGTAAAAAAGGAAAACCAACAAAAAATAATAAATTAAAATTAATTATAAATTTTCAATACCCAACTACCTTCTCTGCGTCTCTCGATCTCCTTCTCCTTCCTTATCGCCGACCCCGTCTCCCGATCTCCTTCTCCTCCCTTATCGTCGACGGATTCTCTGATTGAGCCCATTGGCCTCCGTCGCGCTGCCTTTCTCAAAAAATCGCCCTCCGATTAACATCTTATTACAGTTTCTAGCGATGGATCTGATCTCGACCTGGCAGATCCCCTTCCACCGGGAGCGAACGGGGCCGAGATTCATGTCGGAGAAGCTCCGACGGTCGGGCCAGACGCTTGTTTCGAAAACGCCGATGATGACATCAAAATCGTATTCGGACTCGAACCAGGGCCTGCACTGGTTTCCTTCTTCCCGGTCGCCACTCGCAGGAGACGCTCTGCTTCTTCCGGGTCGTCACTCACAGGCGGGGCTCTCCTTCTTCTTCCTGGTCGCCACTCGTAGGCAAAGGATTATAGAACTTTGTGTTTGTTCTACCAAAAGAGATCATTGTCAGGTGTGGGTCAAAAATTTTGGGTACATACCAGAAGAAGAAGATTAGCAACAAGTGAATTTGGCGAGAGGGTAGCGATGAAGTGCAAGGAGCTGTCGTTTACTAGAAAACTGACGAAGAAGAGACGATTCCGGAGTGGTGCGGGATAGAGGAATTTTTATTTCGCCATCGGCGGCGCCAATCCGCATCTGTACCATCACCGGCGCCATTGCATCAGCTGCATCGATTGAGCTCGGGATTGGGGGAAAATTTGTCTGCAATATTGTGTGGATGGAATTGAAACATCGACGACGCTACCTAAGCGAGTGAAACGGTGGGAAGAGGTTTCGTTGCCGCCGTCGAATTGGTATGGAGACGGGGTGAAACATTGTCGCTCTTTCTCGTCATCGACGCGCAGGATCGGACCTTCTGTACCTTCCGCCGCGGGGCATCGGCATGGAAGAATTACTACCACTACCACGCCTGGGATGACAGTCGGCATTGCGTGGGGATTGGGTTCAGGGAGAGCAAATTCTTCTGCTTGTTCGAAACATGTACCTTTTAATTTTCGGAATCGGCGGCGGCGCCGAGCGGAGGATGCTGGAGGCGGTTTCTTCTCCGACGCCGGCGCCGATGGGCCAAGTGTACAATAATCTGCAAATTGTGGAGAGGGGATGGAGAGGGGACGACGTTGGGTCGTGTGGTGTGGTGAATTGGGAGCGAGTTGTGGATAGAGGAAGATAGAGGTGGCGGCTGACATAGTAGAGATGAGAAGAAAGGAAGAATAAGAAGAAAATCTAGTTTTTAATGTATTTTAGTGGCGGCTGGCGAGAGCAGAGAGGAGAAGAAAGGAAGAATAAGAAGAAAAATCTAGTTTTTGATGTATTTTAGTTTATTATAGTGTTTATGATATGCATTTTAGGAGTTATCGGTATGCAGATTACTAGTCTTTAATAAACACACCAGAAACCTCCTAATGCAGACCATAAACGTGATAAAAAAAAACCACAAAAAAGCAAACCAGAAACCTCCTAATGCATACCACAAATTCTCTAAAACAAACCAGAAACACCACAAACCAAACCACAAATATTTTGAAAGCACACCAGAAACCTCAAAATGCAAACCACAAACACGTTAAAACAAACCAAAAAAACAAACCAGAAACGTCCTAATGCAGACCAAAAATCTACTAAAACAAACCAGAAACCCCGCAAAGCAAACCACAAAATTTTAAAAAACACACCAGAAACCTCATAATGCAAACCACAAACACGATAAAGCAAACCACAAAAACAAACCAGAAACGTCCTAATGAAGACCAAAAATCTATTAAAACAAACCAGAAACCCCGCAAAGCAAACCACAAATTTTTTGAAAGCAAACCAGAAACTTCTCAATGCAAACCACAAACACGATAAAGCAAACCAGAAACTTCTTAATGCAAACCATAGAGACGATAAAGCAAACCACAAAAGACATACATAAATACGAGAAACCAAACCATAAATCTCACATGCACACCATAACATCCGGTGGTCGTTGACCGTTGACCGGTCAACGAAGACCGTTGACCGGTCAACGAAGACCGTTGACCGGTCAACGAAAATTGTTGACCAAACTCCGATGACCGTCAGTTACCAGATTCCGGCGCCGATAGGCATATTCCGGCGCCGATGACTAGATTCCGACGCCGGTAAGCATATTCCGGCGACGGTGGCATATTCTGATGACAAAATAGCATATTCCGGCGACGAAAAGCATATTCCGGTGACCGGCGACCATTTTCCGGCGACCGGTGACAGAATTCCGGCAACCAAAATTTTGGCCCGAAAAAATAAAAAAAATTATTTTTTATTATTTTTATTTTTTTATTTTTTTATTATTTAAACATATTTTTCATAATGACAATTATACCCCTGCTTTGATTTTACACTAGGTCAACTCATCTAATAAAAAGTCATCACAACCCTAGCTTCCTATTGGTTGGAGACTAGTGTTGTTACAATAATAACACAAGGGGTGTTGTCATAGTACTGCCGCCAACAAAGTTTTTAGTGTTTAACTGAGAGGTAGGGTTTTTGGGGAATAGTTTTAGAAGACTAAGACGAAGACAACTCGTCGTCCGCCCTTGATGCCCTGTGAAAAGTGAGAAAACCAGACGCAAGCGAACAGCACAAAGCTGCGAGCAGCCATGGGAGGATCTCGAGTTCAAGTCAACAAAGCTCACAAGACTCGCTTCGCTTCCAAATCGACTCGCAACCTTCACAAAGTTTCTCTCAAAGGTTTGCTCTCCACGAATCCTCCCCAGTTTTCCCTGTTGTAGTTTATCGTTCCCATTCTAGCGTGCTTATGAGTGCTCTCTGCTCCTCTCTGAACGATTAGATAAGAATAGGATTGCGAAATCGGACAAAAATGTGGCAAAAGGAGGTCGAGCTGCTCGTCTTCATCGCAACAAGATGGTAAGTTAGCGTGTTTAGAGTTCTGGTTGATGTTTAATTGATTGGCAAGTTATGCTTCCTCTGACGACGGGGACAAATTGTTCGTGTTTATGTTTGGAATTTGGTAGCTGCGGGAGCAGAAGCGAGCTGCTGTTTTGAAGGAGAAAAGGGCGGCAAGTGGAACAACAAGCCCTCCACGAGTTATTGTGAGTGTGTTTAGTTGCTAGTACTAGAACTTTGCCTTGCAGAAGATATGACAAATTCAGTTAGTCTCATGGTTCTTTTTAATGCTGCCAGTTGCTTTTTGGTTTATCTGGCTCCGTGAATGTGGATTCGCTTGCTGAAGATCTTTCAAATGTGTTATCTCCTCAAAATGCTGGCCGTTCATCGGAAGTAATAGCTTCACCAGAGTACAGAATGAGAGCAACGGTAGGTTGCTTACCTTTCTACATCCATGAGCTTCGATTTTTGTTTTTTGATTGGCGCGAATTAAAGATCCTCCTTTTGCGGTGAGAAATGAGATGGGTATCTACATGTTGACAGTTGACTGAATGCTTAGCATAGTCGAGTCACTTCTTAATTGGAATAAACTTAAGCAATTTAGTAATCAAGATAGAGCTTACATAAATTTATTAGACCTGAATAGTGGTTCGATCACTTAGCTATTTCAATGTTGAAATTTCATGCAAAGGATTGATTTTCCGTGTGATGCTGCCAGTGCATTGATTCTGTCATCACCTGAAGCGAAGACTGTTTGTCATATGGATCATTAAACTTTGTACTGAGATAAGCAGTCACTTTTGCCATGTCTACTAATTGTCTCTTCATTTTTTTGTGTGGGAAATTCAGGTGCAGAAAGCACCTCATGGTGATTTGTTATCGTGCATGGAAATGGCAAAGGTATGATGTGATTGTTTAAGAAAACATTCAGTTTTGTACGTCTTGAAAGCTTCTTTTGCCCCCTTATAAATTTCCTTGACGTGTTTGGCATGGTTTTGGATGTAGGTTGCTGATCTCATTGCTTTTGTGGCATCAGCAGACTCCTTCTGCGAAGATGGTACTGCCGACTGCATGGATTCCTTTGGGAATCAGTGTTTGTCAGTCTTCAGGGCACTTGGTTTGCCTAGCACAGCAGTATTGATCCGTGTAAGTTGTTAAAGCGTACTTTCCTCATCAAATTCATTAAGGCTTCAGCCAATGAAATGTCAAGGCAAGGTTTATTTAATTACATGTGTATGTTCTTCTGCAGGGTCTTCCGGTGGAGCTAAAAGGGAGAAGTGAGGTAAAGAAGATATGCTCTTCCTGCCTTGCTGGTGAGTTTCCTGAGGATTGCAAGTTCTATCCTGCAGATACTAAAGATGATTTGCACAAGGTAATTGCATTTGACTCGGAATGCTCTGTTTCTGACACAGTATTGTGCCTTGAGTTTTTGGTTCTCTCCGTCCCTATCTCTCCATATTTACTCATTCTGGTGCTCATGCAATCTCTTTCTCCCGCATTCACATTGGACATGGCTTGCAGTTCCTATCGCTATTTAAGGAGCAGAGGCTCACGGCACCTCATTGGAGAAGTCAAAGACCTTATCTTATGTCTCAAAAGGTGCTACCTTATATCATTTACTTTCTTGTGATTGTGTTGTAAGAAAGAATGTAATGTTACAAATTACAAGTTTTATACTGAGAAGACTCGTCCGAGGATTCGATTCGATTTGATTCCCCTGAACATTGATATACTCCATTGCTTAATAAATAAGTTCTGATGGTTGGGAAATATGGACCTAGGATTCATTACCCCATGGTTCTTATATTTGGTCTTGGCTATTGGAACTGACAACTTGATAGAGTTGCAGTAAAGTTGCAGTAAATTGAAGATTCAACTGTCCTGTATTCTCCATTTTCCTTCTGCTACATTTTGAGAATGTTAAATTACAGTGGTCTCTTTTGAAAATGTGTTTTGTAGGTTGATGTAGTTGCTGACAGCAGCAATGTGCCCAATTCTACCCTACTTCTGACAGGTTATTTACGTGCTCGCAGTCTCTCCGTGAATCAGCTGGTAATGAGTTGTTATTTGAATAGTTTGTTGGGGATTGGTATATGATCAGCTTTCATGTGTTAATCTGGTACTGCCCTCCCCTTATTTCAGGTTCATGTTTCTGGTGCTGGGGATTTCCAACTACAGAAAATTGAAATTCTGAGGGATGCTTGTCCTCTCAACTTAAGAAAAGAAGCAGATGCAATGGATGCAGATGACATGCTTAATGTGGAGGTACTCTCACATTTTTTCTTAATGATATGGCTAGTGACTTGTATAGTTAGTCGATTGTGGTAAAATAGTCTTAGCTTTAACCGAATCCAATCATGTTTACCTGTTGTCTCATAGTTATCAGCTGTATCAAGTGTCAGGTGTCCCACATGTCATACGTCTTCTGAAGCTTGCAGTTTGCTTTGTTGCTTTTGGCTTTATCATGCTAGGTTATCCGTACTCTGGTTCCCGATCCTTTGGCACAGGAGCCTTTGCTTGTCGAAAATGTGCCCGATCCACTCGCGGGAGAACAGGTAATTTGAACAAGCTTGTAATTTTATAATTGCAGTATATGATCACAAAGTACGGTTACATTCACAAACGAACTATTCTTTCCTTTTCTTTGCTGTCTTAAATCTTAGTATTAGAACACCTTTTCATATGCAATGTAGTTCAATTGCACTTTTCCTTCTTCCTTGCTTGACAGACCTGGCCAACAGAAGCTGAAATGGAGGAGGCTGATAGAAACCAAAAACAAAAGGCCGTGAAAAAGAAAGTTCTTCCTCGAGGTACTTCAGAATACCAGGTCCGTGGGCTCTGTTATGCAAGTCCAGACTCAATATTTTCTGCTCGTACTATTTAGCATAACATGGATTATTATCTTTATACTTATATCCATTAATCTCTAATCTTTGCAGGCTGCATGGATTGTGGATAGTTCAGATGAAGAAGGTTCAGATAGTTGCAGTGATGTTGATGATGGCATGATACTGGATGAAGGAGGTGATCATTTTCCTGGTCCAGGGGAAACTAATGATGATGGCTTTGAAGATGATCGAGCTTCTCTGGATCTTGAGGAAATGGACGGTGATACAGAAACTGCTTCTGTTATGATGGTAAGCACGGAAGCAGTAGCAGTTACTAGTGTGTGTATGGCAAGCTCAGTCAACCTCAAATGCCCTTTACAATTTCATGCAGGAAGGTGAAAACTTAACAAGGGAACAGGTAGAGGAAGAAATCAGAAAAATCAAAGAAGCCCATGCTGAAGACGAGGGTATGTAACAAATGGGCTTCTGATACGATTCTGGACTTCATTTTGTCTTTATTTTCCTATGTGGTCTTATATTGGACTGGACCTGCCATGCGCACGCTTACTTATAATATACCCATTTGCTTATGTATGTCTCCTTCGTCCCTCGAATTTATAAGCTTAAATCATTGAACTACCAGGTTGTGTTTCGGAGTGTCATTGTCCTGCATAATTTTTTTAAATTCTCATTCTATCATTTTGTGTGCAGAATTTCCTGATGAGGTGGATACTCCATTTGGTATTCCTGCCAGGAAACGTTTCGCAAAGTACAGAGGTCTCAAATCCTTCAGGACCTCATCGTGGGACCCTAAAGTAATAGATGCTATGATATCTCCTTTTATTTTTCTGTACTCATCCTTGGGTGTTGCATCATGTGATATCTTTTTCTTCATTTTCAGGAATCTCTTCCTGCAGATTATGCCCGAATTTTCGCATTTGACAATTTTCCAAAGACACAGAAACATGTTCTTGCGAAGGCCTCAGAAATGGAGCAGGCAGACTCCGATGACTGTGTACAAGCTGGCCAGTATGTAAGGCTTCACATCAAGGATGTACCTATGCACATTGCTCATAAGTTATATGAAGTTGCAAAGGCAGCTCCTCTCATAGCCAGTGGACTGTTGCAGCACGAGTCCAAGATGTCTGTTCTGCATTTTAGGTCTGTTTATCTAGCCAATGTTCTATGTTTGTCTATTGTAAAAGTGGGGATTTGGTCTCATGGTTTTATTTGGCAATGTATGCAGCATAAAGAAGCATGATACGTATGATGCACCTATTAAATCCAAAGAGGAATTACTGTTTCATGTTGGTTTTCGGCAACTTGTTGCTAGGTAATATACCTGTATCCCTGACTATCGAACTTGCTTTCTCTAATATTTATTCATGGAAACTTACTTGCTCTCTGCTTTTCAGGCCAATTTTCTCGACTGATAACATTAATTCAGATAAACACAAGATGGAGAGATTCCTTCATCCTGGTCACTTTGCCATGGCATCAATTTACGCTCCAATTTCTTTCCCTTCGCTACCCTTGATTGCTCTGAAGAAGATTGAAGGAGGTGGTGCACCAGCAGTTGCTGCTTTTGGAACCTTGAGAAGCATTAACCCGGATAGGATAATTTTGAAGAAGATTATATTAACTGGGTATGCAGACTTTGTTCTTTATTGTTCATGGAGTTTCAATTTACTTATGATTACTGTGTTGCCTCTTCTTTGTTATGGTAAATTTGATTTTGTCCATTGATGTTGTCTTGCAGCTATCCGCAAAGAGTATCAAAACGGAAGGCTACTGTAAGATACATGTTCCATAACCCAGAAGATGTGAGGTGGTTTAAGGTAAGAGAATGTCACGTGTTATGTAATGGTGTCTGATCGATTATCAGTCCAGGTGGTTTAGCTTGTGAGATCCATGTGTAATTACCCTTGATTATTCCATGTTATGCTATGCAGCCTGTGGAAGTTTTCTCAAAATATGGGCGTCGTGGTCGCGTCAGGGAACCTGTTGGCACACATGGTATGGTGCTCTCTCTCCACTTGGATTAAGTTTCATGTTGTTGTCACGACCTCAGCTAGGAGTGGGAAAATGGTTTTCAGACTTTTCATTAAACCTGAACAATACCACTCCTGACCCCAGCTTAGGAGTCACATATACCAATACACCATCCCTCCCGTTATTCTGCCAATGTGTCCCCTCTCGCGTTATTTCCCATTCATACTTCCCTTCTCATCTAGTGTTTTACGCTCTCTGTTTATGCTTTCATCAGGTGCCATGAAGTGCTTGTTCGATGGAGTCCTACAGCAGCATGACACCGTATGCATGGGCTTGTACAAACGTGCGTACCCCAAGTGGCCAGAACACCGTTACCCTATGGCCGATGCTTGACCGTGGGGCACCCACAAAGCACAAGACGGAGCTACATTTCTGTAGTTTCAGTCTGGGAATGAAGCTCTGGTTCAGATTTGGAAATTTTCGGGTTTCTTGTTACCCCCTGGCGAAACAGGGGAATCAATCTTTCTGAGTGGCAAAGATACATGACTGTAACTTGGCCGCCGCTAGATAAATTATGTCATCCATATTCGTATATCGTTTGTTGTGTGGGTAAAAAACTTGTTCCTTAGCATTGTCTTCTACTGAATGAAGGCATTAGATTAGATGGTAGGAAATAGTAGGGGTGAAGGAGAGTGAAATCAAATGCTGTAAAATATTTCTTCTTACAGCTTGTGCTGGTAATTTTTTTTATTGAATTCACTCAATTTTGTCGAGATGTTCCATCTTGTTCAGTGTACCATGCTTCTATTTGATCCATTCATTTACTGAACTGATCTGTCAACATTCTTGTTAGCATTGAATATCAAGGTACCATAGTACCATGGATTTGTACGATAGCGAATTATATGAATAGCGAATCATACGATACAATCTTTTCCACTTGGTCACCAATTCAATTGACTGTTTTCGGTATGGTATTGTGAAGAAAGTAGTGGAATGATAGTTGGTGCTTCGGTTGCATGAGAAGTTAGATTGTGTAGATAAAGAACATGATCACCGGAATTATCATGGTCGATTCTCGAACAAACCAAGAAGATACAAGGCCAGTTAAAATCATAGGTTATTAGCAAGTTTGTTCTTTGATGGATGCAATGACCATCCTACCAGTTAGTTAAGAATCAAGCGATGAATTTGTCCTGAAATAAAGTTTAGGGACCAATTTCCATGATCAATCAAATCCCAGCATAAGCACCAATTCATTTGAACTAACCAACAATTAACAGAAGATCGTCCCTAGAGCCATGCATAGCTTCTAAGCCTACTGCCTGGATATGGGGACAACAAAATAAAATGAACTGAAAGCTGTTCCAGGAGCTCGCTTGTCGCACTCGAAGTCGGAGTGCCTTTGTACAATATGCTCAATTACATGCCATGCCTTCGACTAATGTTTACGGTACATCAACTCTTGTTGCCTTGGTTTCAAACACAGTGGATCGCTGGAGGTGTAGATTAGACTCTAGGCTTCTCCTGAAGGCAACTCAGGCATCTTTGGGGACGAACCGAGCACTCGTTCCATATCAAAGCGGACTTCAATGTTGCGGATGCTGTAGCCAACCACCATCAGCCAGTAGAGCAGCTTCCCCAGTTCAGCTGCACTGGTCTCTGTCGTGCTCGTCTGCAAGACACAGGTTTACGATAATGACATAACTATAGTGCTGACGAAAATCTATATGACAGGACCGATTAACTTGAATAGAAAAGTATAGACAAGGAGGAGACAAACGGTGAAAACTCTCTGCATTTTTCGGGAATAATTTTCCTGTATTAACAAGTTTGAAGAATCAAAGACCAGGGAATTCCATTTATCTACAGAGGAGTGCCGCTTCACAAGTTCCAACTTTCAGCAAGTGAAAATTAAGAAATCGGTAGAACTACTCTACAAATGACCATGCTCATGAATGGAGTGAAGCCAGATTGAATGATATGCCTGATAAGAAAACATACTGGACATTCCTGGTGCTTCTAAATCTACCATAAGAGGAATCTCAAGAAATGTGTTTCCTGAACAAAGAGCTTAATTGTAGGGAAAACCTTCATTTTCTCTTTATCTGTGACCACCAAAAGGCGCTTGATGAATGCGTTCATTGCAACAACTGCATCTTCCCCAGCACTATTACTCAACTCCTGCAACACCGTGGAAAGCATGATCCAAAAAGTCAGAATATCCATTCAGTGGTTGAACAAAATAAAAAATAAAAAACGAGTTTCACAAAACATGGTGCCTTTAGAAAAAACTCATATGCGCGATAATAAGGAAACCATCCATGATAAAGAACACTATTACTACATCTTGGTCAAATCTGACCTTGATATTCTGGGGTTCAAGATTCCTGCAGTAATCCAGCAACTCATTACCGCCATGTGTGGACTTTCTACCAACTTGTCGATTCAGTTCCTCGAGCTCCGCTTCGAGGATTTCAATATACTTTTTAGCATCAATTGTTTCAGGACCAGAGACATTGTTCCACCTAATAACTTCACCACTTACATTCTTCTGTGTAAGGGTTGCATAATCTGTATTATCCAGCTACATCAAAAGCACGCTTTATCATTCTCTACTAAAACAATAAGGATTACAAGTATGAATACACACTTGATGAACATTCAGAGCTAATCGATTCAATATACAAATGAAAGAGATTGAACTATCCCACAGAGTACCCCACACACTGAAAAATCCAGATCAAGTAACTTCGCATACTATGGACCTAGAAGCAAGGAAGCATCTACCTCTTTCTCCTTCACATCAGGAAGAGCAACATGCTCCAAGCTCTCCTGGAGCTCTAGCCTGTATTGAGCATTCTGAAACATGTAACCAGTCATCAACACGCTGTACATAAGCTGCGCAAGACTTTCAGCTACCTGAAACCCCGAAACCAACACATTACTTCATCTGTCAAACAATACTCGACCACATAACCGCATTACCACAATCCACAGCACATCCACATCCACTTACAGTGCTAACAGTCACAGCAAAGAACTGTGGAGGTAGAGTCCCAATCATATTTGACACAGTCTGCCGCATAGCATCAACCACCTAGAACGAAGTAAATTGAACCAAAGAGGACTCTCAGTTTTTCACCATTTCATCAGCAAAAGAACATTCAAACGGGGAAAACAAAAGGATCAAACTTTTTACTAACCAGTGGGGGTGCCCGCTTGGAGAAGAGCTCCATAAATTCAGGCTGCACGGTCTTGACATACTCCATCAGGATTTCTCTCCTGTTCCTCTGTCCATCAAAGTTTGATTTTTTTTACTGCAGAGTCCAAACCCAGAAACCAAAAATCCAGGAAAAGGGGGAAAAAGACAACTTCCAATTAACCCCCAAAAAGTGAGGGGAAAAAATGTAAAGGGTACCAGAGCGCCATTGGTGTCATTAGACCCATCTGGTTTAGCAGCTCCACTAGCTTGAACTCTCACCACCAACCTTCCTCTTCCACAACCAGCGACACTCTTCGATCTCCAACGGAAACTCACCAAGGAAGAGGGAAACCGAGGCCCATTCGATACAGAAGAAGAAGATAGCTTTGGTAGAAAAATTGATGGCTTGGCAGTCAAGGAGTTCATCTTTCCTCCCCACTAGTCCGTTCCTCTCCGTGAAAAATTCAGCTGTAGAAGCAATTGGAGACGAGCTTCAGAAGAACACTAAATCGTCGCTGCCGCTATCAGAGGATGAGAGAAGTGTATGTAGGTGGGCGAAGCTTACAGCGGCGCTGCCTGCAGGCGGCAAATGGGGTCCGTAATAATGCCTGCGGGCAATTGATTGGATTTCGGTCTGTTCATCTCTTGGCGTTAAAAAAATCTCTTGGCGTTAAAAAAGTTGTTGGAATATTAAATGTGAGAGCTGACTATTAAATTTTTTCCCAAGAGAGTTCACACTTTTAATGGCAAAAATAATCGTGAAAATCCATCTAATCTAGTCAGGTGGGGTCTAATCATAATTCAAATATTGTAGATAACGAGTGAACGTGATTTTTTCATTATTCAATTTGAATATGCTCGATTATAGATTTGTATACGTATATTGTTTAAAAATGATCATTATTTTTCTTAATAATTTTGTGTTTATTATAAATATGTAATTTTTTTTTTATAAAATTGTGTTGTTTAATATGTAACATGAGGGCTTCAATTTTTCTATACCACAAAAGCAAATATGTTGAAGGTCAATAATAAGAACATGATGCATACACGGTTGAAGAGCCTTCCAACTCATTGCAATGACCATGAAATTTGAAATTCAAAGTCAAAGCACACAACTTCAATCTAAAACAACGAGGAGATGACAACAACACATGTAACATGTCATGTTAATCCCTCGAACTATTTTGCTTTTCGTCTCATTTGAAAACCTTATTGAACACACTTAAATGTAAAGAAATGACATGTTTAAGTGCATTAGTTTTCAAATAGTGGCTCCAACTTTAAATAGTTACTCATGATTTTCTTCTCTTTTTTACCTTTCACTCTGTTATTCATTTCTCTCTCTCATGTTTTTGTCATATTATTACTATTTGAAACTAGAAAGCGACAAACAAGAAGCGAAATATAATTGTTCAAATGAAATATTTTCAACTGAAGTCCCTTGTTGCTTGTATGGTGCCGGGAGGAGGAGCTTGTCTTGGCGTTGGCGATGGAGTGCAGATGGCTGGTAATATGCATATGACTAATTATCAAATCGAGACAGATTGTCTATCCCTGATTCAGAAGCTGAAAGAACGGGAAGCCATTTATTACAAAATTGGGTACCATATGCAAGAACATCTGTAAGGCAATTGGCACAAGATTAGAGGAAGCGATTCTCTTTGTTCGTAGACTGGCAAATAATGCAGCTTATCTTATGACGAAATGCGAAACACAATAGTACATTCTAGTGGTATTGATAGATAAGCCACCTTTGATATTTCTTGATAAGCTACGACTAGATGATGTAGCCGTGGACCCGTGGTTGATTGTTGATTAATAAAGTCTAAAAAAAGATCGACATAAAAATTAAAAAAAGTCCACTCCCCGTCTCCGTAGAGTCCAAATCGTTTCAATGGGCTTTTCTCAACAGTCCGGTCCAGTCCAGTCCACAGTCGACACCCAAAGGCGCAAAAAACGCATCCTTTATTTTCTTCTATTCGGGCGGTTTGGTTTGTTGCTTTCGCCAAATCCCAGTGAATTCCCGATTGATTCTCCCCGTTTCCACCCACCCCGATGCCGGAGTTCTAGCGGCCGCCGGTGGATCCAGAAATCCAGTTTCCCTTTTTTGCTCCTCCATTTTCTCCGTCTCTTTGCTAACTTCAGATAATTCATCGATTACCGCCGCAAAAAAGGAATACAAATTCACGAAAAGCTGGGGAGCTTCGGGAAGAGAGGGATCGAAAAGAAGAGAATGGCGTTCCACAGGCGGCGCCACAGCTATTACAACCGCCTCCGTTCTCTTCTCCCCTTGGTCTCCGCCGTCTCTGGATTCCTCCTCATCCTCTTCGCCATCCTCTCGTTCCTCGCCCCTTCCCCGAGCGATTCCGGCAACATGTACGACAATCGCCTGAGCCACGTGGCCGACGACGACGAGGCTGGTGCGGAGTCTGCGGCGGGAGATAGCCTGCCTGTTTTCCGCGTGCCGGTTAGGGATTTGTGAATTGGATTTCTTCTTCTTGGGGAGCTCCTTTTTTTTGTTGTTGTGTTGTATTGTTCCCTGATTTGATTTTTTGTTGTTGTTGTTGGTGGTGGTGCAGGAGCGTGGTGGAGTATTGGATCGTGATATTTGGAGCTCGAGGAATTCCAAGTTCTTCTACGGCTGCAGCAACGCCAGCCATGGTTTTCGGAGTAAGCACATGAATTTCCCCCTTCATTTGGATTTGTCTTAATTGCTTGGTCCATCAGCACTTATGGTAATTGCTGTGTCACGATCGTACTGTATACATGTGCTCGTAATGGATAATAGTGGGGGGAAAAATCTCTCTTTTGGACTAGTATATAATTGCGTTAGATTGGTTTCCAATTTTGTGAATTTGGCATCTGTGTCAAGTCAACTCATGTCATATGGTTTGATTGCAGATGCAGACGCTGTTACGAAACCAGATCGATATTTGCTAATCGCTACAAGTGGAGGTTTGAATCAACAGAGGACTGGGGTATGTTCAAGAAATCATTCTTTGCAGTAGCTGATCTAAGCTTTCCATTTCAATTTTATAATAAAATGTCTCGTTTTCCTTGTCAAATGTTTGCCCATCTGGACATATGGAGAGACTAAAGTAGAGAAATTTTTAAGCCCATAATTGTGAAACCCCGCTGTTATCTGATTGTGATGTAAACTTGGTAGATCATGAAAGGTCAAGTACTTAACCTATATTTATTATCCATTTGTCTCGGAATTGACAGTACTATCTTGAGAGTATCAAGGTGGTGTTTGTCCTTGTAAATGTTCTGTTTATTTTGAGTTTTGTATTTGGCTCACTGAATCTTTTCACTGAACATCTTCTATGATATAGATATAAACCTTTTAGCTAAGACATTTTTGTTTGATTATGTTTCATTCCCATTCCTTTGCAGATTACAGATGCTGTTGTTGCTGCTCGAATTCTTAATGCCACTCTTGTCGTGCCTAAGCTGGACCAGAAATCTTTTTGGAAAGATTCAAGGTTACAATCAATGATGCCTTTATCCTTATTTTAAGGCTTCCAAGTTTGTCTGGGTGCTAATGGTCTGATATGTATGATTCCCCCCCCCCCCCCCCCCCCCATTTATACAGTAATTTTTCGGAGATCTTTGATGTTGATTGGTTTATCTCTTCACTAAAAAATGATGTCAAAATCATAAAAGAGCTACCAAGAAAGGGCGGAAAGACTTGGACTCCCCATAGCATGCGTGTTGCAAGGAAGTGTAGCGAGAGATGCTATGAAACCCGTGTATTACCTGCTCTTTTGAAAAGGCATGTAAGTTTTTAGTCATCCATTCTTCTTAACCTATTTTGTTGTACATCGCATCTTTGAATTAGGATATGTTCGGTCTGTGGAGTTAAGGTTGCTAAGCTTAAACTTCAATATAGCTACTGCTCCCTTACTGACATTCCTTTTGAAATATTACATAAGGTTTTCTTCTTTTGAAGTGGATATTTGCTAGCTGGTAGACTTAATGAGTGATGTAAATGTAGGTTTGAGCCAAGTTTCCTGGCTCGAAGAGCCTTGGGTCATGCATATAATTTATTTGCTAGGTAGGCTTTAGGTCACGGAGCCTTCATAATGCTGGCTTTCCGAAAACCCAATTGCGTGGGCTATACGTCAACTTCAGATATGCTATGTTTGTAGGACAGTAAAAATAAATAAAATTGAAGTACATTCCCTCGATGGTTATCTTATGCTTTCCGAGTGTTAATCTGCACTTAACTTTTAAACAGGCAATTCAGCTAGGCAAGTTTGACTACAGGCTGGCAAATAGATTGGATACACAGCTTCAGAAGTTGCGATGCCGAGCTAACTACCATGGTTTAAGGTTCACTGAGCCAATTCGGAACATGGGCGAGGTGTTGGTCAACAGAATGAGGACGAAAAGCAAGCATTATATCACATTGCACCTAAGGTACAATTGCTGTTTTACCCTTACCATTTTGGCTATCCAGTCAAAATTCATTGCTTCTTGCATAATAGTGCTGAGAATCTGAGACCTGGCGAAATCTGTTCAACACAATGTCAAACCAGGAAAGCCAGCACAACAGACCATAAAGCGGCTACTACCTGCTCACTCTTTCTTGATAATTGAAAAATGTTGGAATTCCTTTGGTATTTGTTTGAATATTAAGTGACTTTTTGTAGTTCCCAAATGAACATTCTTGGGCATTTCTTTTCCAGCTACACCTATTTGCATTGTTTCCATCAAATCCATATTGAATTAGGCGTTTCCTGCTGCAGGTTTGAACCTGATATGTTGGCATTCTCTGGCTGCTACTATGGTGGAGGTGATAGGGAAGATAAAGACTTGAGTGCCATACGGAAGAGATGGAAAACCCTGCATGTAAGATTCAAGTCATGCACCTGCAACTTTCTTCTATTGCTTTTACTGTTAACTTCCCGGTTCTCTGTCTACATTGCAAAAACTGGTTCTGAAAGTGTAAGTCTTTCCTGTGAAATTAGCCATCTAGATTTAATCTACCATGATAGAAAGTTAGAATCCAATCTGAAAAAAAGTAATCAGAATCTGTTGCAGAAGCCTCTCTTTCAGAGCACATATACAATTCATGTAATGAAGGTCGAAACCTCAGCCTGATCTCTCTTCAATATCTCATCGGCTTCAGATAGATCTTAGATCTGAAGTTTCACCAACACTTGGCAAATGTCCCGAGTCTTCTCTGAACTACTTGACTAGTTTCTTTTCGCATGGCTATTGCCAAATGAGAGTTAATGAGGTTTACTTGTTTTTGCTGTCACAGTCAAAGAACCCTGAGAAGGAAAGAAGGCACGGGAAGTGCCCACTCACTCCACACGAAGTTGGTCTTATGTTGAGAGCATTGGGTTATGGCAGTGACGTCCACATATATGTTGCCTCAGGAGAAGTTTATCGAGGGGAGGATACATTGGCACCTCTAAAAGCGCTCTTTCCTAACTTCTATACTAAAGAGACTCTTGCAAGCCACGAGGAGTTACAACCATTCTCTTCATTTTCCTCAAGAATGGCTGCACTCGACTTCATTGTTTGTGATGAAAGTGATGTATTCGTGACAAATAATAATGGCAACATGGCAAAAATCTTAGCTGGGCGTAGGTAATGGGTCCCTCCCTCTCTCATTCACTTCCATGTCTGATAAGTTCTTTCTATGTCTGGTATGATTGACAGTTTTCTGGATTTGCAATCAAATTGTGCAGGAGATATTTTGGTCACAAGCCCACGATTCGACCAAACGCCAAGAAGCTCTACCGCTTGTTCTTGAACCAGAACAACATGACGTGGGAGGCATTTGCTTCTAGAGTTCGCACGTACCAGAAGGGCTTCATGGGCGAACCGAAAGAGGTTAGACCTGGCAGAGGAGAATTTCACGAGAATCCCCATACCTGCATATGTGATGACACGGAAACCAAGACAAGAAAGGAATCGCCTCCTAGAAAATTAGGAAAAGGCTATAATAATGCAACCTTTGAAGGAGGAGATTTCGAGAACCAAAACTTGGACACTGATCCAGATCCGCTCGATCCAGATACCGAAGATGATCAAGATGTGGTCGATGACATAGGAGTTTTCAACAACACGAGTATGGATTACGATGGATTTAACTCCGAGGACCACGAGTTTGAGGACCTACTCTCCGACTGAATCCGAAGACACTCTCTCGTCATTTCCTGCATATATGAAACCGATCTTTCGCCTTCTGCCACGAAAGAGAGAGCTCACATGGAGATATTGGTTGGACCTCCTTGTTTCAGGGAGAAGTCTTGACAGCTGCTCAATTTAAAGATAACTGGAGGATTATGCTGAACTGGGATCATCATCGACATCATTTGTTATCAGAGGCTTGCAGGTGAGAAACTGAAGGTCTCTGATAAATATCCTTCTTTTGAAAGTTGGTGTGAAGAAAGGCCGGAAAAAATGTATTGGACAGGCTTGCCTTTGATTAATTAAGCTTCTTTCTTTGGCTAGATAGGATACAGAGGTTAGACCAAGGGAAAATCCTGTAATTTTTGTACCCTCTTTTTTGTCAACAAACCAACAAAGCATGCCCCTTTGAGATGGGGGTATGAAATCTTAGGTTAGGGAGTTTGGTTGTGTATGCTAGCTTTTTGGAGACTGGAGTTAGGGTTTTATACAGCTGTAGTTGAAGTTCTATTTTGGAAGATGTTGTACAAAGTAACTTATAATCTATTGTTTCAGTTTCTAGTTTCTATGGTAATGCCATTCCTCGGCCTTTTCTATTTGTAGTCTTCATCTTTGCTCTACTATTGAGATTGTACAGTGTGTACGAGAGGTATAAGATCCAATATAACCTTCTCTCAACAACTCGAGTTATTGATATCAACTGGTTTATAATATGGTATCAGAGCTAGTTTAGCCAAGTGGTCGTGTGTTCGAATCTCCATGACCCCTAATATTAACAGTTGATTAAAAAAACACAAGGTATGATGGGCCTGTGCAAACTTCAATCCCGTAAGTTGGCTTTCGTTTAAGGGGCGTGTACCTTCTACATACATTGTTGGACTAATCTAGATCATCAATTACTGAATGCGAGTTGTACGAGCGGGCTGCATGGAAAGAACAACCGGGAATGGATGGAAGTTTCATCTAATCCTTATTATATTAGGATTGGTCATCCATCTCCATTTTCAAGCTTAGACCAAGGTGGTGTCTGGGACAAGTGGAACCTTGACAGCTTGTTCTTTCAGTTTTTTCAAACACAACCCACCTTGGTTGATTCGACCTTGAAGATGTGATAGTGCAAGCTCAACTGAAATGAGCAAGAGAGAAGATAAATTGGCTATAAACAGTTTGTTTTGATTCATTCATCTCATGCCTTCAAATATTTGTCACAAGACTCATCGTTACAAAACTATACTACTGTCCACTCATCGGCTGAGGATGTTAAGAATGGAAACTCTGGTTTTCACCAACAGCTTATAAACACAACCCAACTCTTCAACTTCTTGAATGGTCAACTCAATTCCCTCCAAACTCTTTAACAAATTCTTCAACTCCCCACAGCTCATCTCTTTGCTAGACCTCGAAGCCATAAGTTCCCTTTCCATCTTCACAACTTCATTAATCCCATTGCTTTCCCCTTCGCAGGAGGAAATCCTCTTGGACTGCAACAGTTTCGAGACCAAAGACCATCTCTTGGTCTTTGGGTTCGAGCAGGAAATTATCGCCAAGAGAGACTCGAAGATCTCAAGGCATGCCTCTTCAGCCTGTCTAAGAGTTCCAACCACAATGCTGGAATCTTTCTCCTGGTAGCTGCTGCAGTTCCTCTGTGAACACTTTAGATTTCTCAAACACTTGCACATTTCTTTGCTCAGCAGCTTCTTGGCAGCCATATAAGCTTCAACTGATTCACTTCCTGTCTTCCTTCTGAGTGATGATTGAAGCTCTTTCAGGATCTCCTTCATTTGCGAGAAAATGTCTCTGGTCGCAGCACAGACATCGAACAACCTGAGGGATCGGTCGAGGGACTTATCCATTGAGTTATCATCAGAGATGGCTTTCTGGGTTGCTTGCAGTTGAAGGAAATCGTCGATTGATTCGTACAAATCCTTGAGGCCACTCAAATTAGATGGTGAAGATGTTGACTGAGAGGATCTCAGCCTCTCCAACTGAATATCAACGTCTAGTGTAGACTGGTGAGGCCTTGATGGCAAGCTGATGGATCGAACATGGCAAGCAGAAGCCATTTCTTTTTGTGGGTTATTTCCTTGATCTGAATGTTGAGATTGCTGCAATAGAGAACAAGAAGAAGCTTAAATGAATGCTTGCAATGAATTTGCTATGATTAGGGAGAGTTATTTAGAAACTGGGAAGTATAGGCAGATTACTAAAGGCTTGCATTTGCTGTCATGTAGAGGGTTTTCCTTGACAAAACCTAGTTTTTCTCATCATTGTACAGTTGACCGGGAACATAATAAGGGTAGCCGCAGGCGTCTTCATGGATGCCAGACAGAAGCAAGACAATGGGTATATGTCTCATATTGGCTTCAATCGCTCCATGTGAAAAAGGCAATAGAGCTCCAACGCATTATGACAGTGAGAGAGAGAGAGAGAGAGAGAGAGAGAAGCATATGACAAAATGTGTTGAATGTATCATTGCTGACAAACTTGTTCCCTGTTTCCTCTGTTTCTGCATCAGGATTCTCCAGCAATGCTGCAAAATCAAATGTAAGAAAATGAAATCTTATGGTCCCATTATTAATATAATACCACCTCGGTGCAATGAACTCGTGCAGCAACGGCGTTGGCCGTGAATGCAGACCTCCAAGGCTGTCAAGATTCCAACTGCTCCCACTCCCACCATGGCCATTTCACATCAATAATTAGCTACTTGTTTCAACGCCATAAGTTCTTAAATTACTCAAATGCAGTCTGATCCATTTCATTTCCCACCAAATGGGTACTAAATAAACACATTTGAGATGCCCTTCAGCAGCTCCAAAAGTTATCATGTTGGAGAAGAAGGAAACAACCACGACAGAAAACCCATTTCTTCTTGTTTTTTCAAATAGCCGTCCAGCTTTGCTCTGCATTAAGCAATAATGCTCCTGTCTATCGTTCATGGAGCAGCCCGATCTGATCCAGCCATTTTTAACTCCCAAAGTCAAACTTCGTGAATTCAGAGAACCACCCAAATCCACAAAGGCAGCCGATATATAAAGTAGACCAATACGAGGGTTTAGCTTCAACCAACATCTCAGCGACATTTCATCAAACAGCTTCTTCTCCCCGTTCTCCAGCCAAATCAAACAACAAAATGGCCGCCACCAGCCACGTCCGATCCATCAGTTTGCCCACGGGAACTCACCCCACAAGCCTCGCCGTCGAGGTCCAGCTCGAGAGGTTGAGATCCTCCGAATCCGCATCCACCGCGGATTCCACCACCCAATTGAACATCCTCAGAGAGCTCCACGAATGCGTCGACGACTTGCTTCAATTGCCCGCGACCCAGAAATCTCTCTCCAAATCCATGGAGGAATCCCTTATCAACGGATCACTCAGGTCACTGGAGATCTGCGGAGCCACAAGGGAAATCTTCGCCCAGTTGAAAGATTGCGTGAAATCACTCGAATCCTCACTGAGAAGGAAAAGTAGCGACTTGACCAGTGAGATCGAAACGTTCGTGAGTTCAACAAAGAGACTGAGGAAACTCGCCTGCAAAACCTTGAAATCATCCAAGAAGAGCAAATCCCCCGCAGCGGATCTCGAACCGAAAGACTCGATCTTTGGGCTTCTGAGAGAAGTCGAATCAGCGAGCTTCGGAGTGTTCGAGTCCCTTTTGAGCTCAGTTTCTGGTGCGGAATCGAGCGGGTGGAGTGTTGTTTCCAAGTACTTGAAATCCAAACAGGACAAGGAGAGTGAAATGGGGAAATTGCAGTCTGAATTGATGGCGTTGAAGTCGAGCTTGAGAGCTGTGAATTCAGTTGAAGAGGTTCAGAAGGTTTTGAAAGGGCTTAAAGGGATGGAATGGAGTCTTCAGGAATCTGAGGAGGAATTGGAGTGTGTTTACAGGAAACTGGTTAAAACCAGAGTTTCTTTCCTCAACATTCTGAATCATTAGCTCTCTATATGTAAACAAGAGCTGCAAAGTTCCTGCAAATATGTATAGAAACAATTTTGTTAATTGATACTGTGATTGTGAATACAACATGAACCAATTTCATCACATACCATCCAATTTGTCTTTCCACTTACAATATAATAACTGATCCAATCAGTCTGAAAGTTTAAGATAACAAGAGATGAAATCAGATAGGTTTCTGAAATGGCATCAAAGAAACTGGACTACTGCCATTCCTAGAGTAACATCCGCTGTTAGATCAAAGACCAAGCAGATAGATCAGGCAGCTTCTTAATCGACTCGCAATCGGTGATCTTCAATCGTCGCAACGAATCCAATTTGCCTAGTCCCATCACCCCAGTCAGCCTAGGACATCTGATAATTGTCAACTCCCACAGGTGCTCCAGATCAGATAGCTTGGGCAACTTCTGAATCAACAGTTGCAACGATGTCAATTTGTCAAGCTCAGTTACTCCAGCTAACTGATTGCACCCTGTAATTTCCAACTTCCATAGGTGCTCCAAAGCAGATAGATGGGGCAGCTCCTTAATCGTCGACAGTAATCTCCAGTTCTTTCAATGACTTCAATTTGTCAAGCCCCACCACCTCAGTCAACTGATGGCATTCTTTGATCACTAGAATCCATAGATCCCCCAGTTCGCCAAGCCCTTGGATTCCTGAGAGTGGACAATTAACAATGTGAAACTCCTATAACTTGGTCATATTGGACTGGTTTGTAATTAGTTGGTTTTATTTTGGACCATATTGCAATTTACCTTTTACTTGTACCCGTGGCCGTGAACTTAGTAGCAGGGTATAAGGTAGTGGCAAGCCGAACCCTAGAAGGCAAGAGTGAACATACCTCTGTATTGAAACTCATCACCATATTGACATCTTTCCTGAGAGCTATGCTCTCCGTGGATTAGTCCCGATCTTCGGGGAAACCACGTAAATCTCGGTGTTCTCTTTTACTTCCGCAATCGTTAGTTTCTACATGGTATCAGAGCTGTGAGATTCAGCTTCTTCAATTTCTTTCATCATGGGTAAAACGGAAGAGGAGTCTAGCGGCGACACGCATATGGTTGATTCTGAGCCTTGCGTCATCCCGATCAGCTCACCCCTCTACCTGCATCCCACAGAGAATCCTGCACAATTGTTCGGTAGTGATTTGCTGAACGATTCCAATTATGGAAAATGGGTCAACGACATCACAGAAACCCTAATCGCCAAAAACAAGCTGGTTTTCGTGGATGGATCATTCCCCCGCACCAAAGCTGGCTCGCCTGCTCATCGCGATGCCTGGGATCGCTGTGATGCGACCGTTAAAGGCTGGTTGAAAACAGCCATGACCCGTGAGGTTCAAAATAGCGTCCGGACGGCATCGACGGCGCGTGATATTTGGATGGATCTGCAGGGTCGATTCAGCAAAGGAACGGCGCAAAGGGCCTATGAGCTCCGCCGCAAACTCAGCACCCTGCGACAAGATAAGCTTTCCGTCTCCGCTTTCTTCACACAACTACGTGCAGTGTGGGACGAGAAGTTGTCGATAGGGGGAGTCGCACGTTGCACATGTACTGGTTGCACTTGCGGCTGGGCTCGGCAATTCCACGAGCAGCAAGAGACCGAGCAGCTCTTCGAGTTTCTCCTCGGCCTTGATGACGCCTACTCTGTGGTGAGGTCGCAAATCCTTAGCACGCGTCCCACTCCTACGCTCGCCGATGCATATAGAATGGTCACGGCGGAGGAGCAACATCGGCTCCTCACCAGCGCGCGGCGTCCCGTTGTTGACTCCGCTGTGTTCCAAGTGCAAGCAGTGGAATCTCGTGATGGGCGTGCTCATGATGAGCAGGAGCACTCGCGGGAAGACAAAGACCGTCCCCGCTGTTCAAACTACCGCCGTCTTGGACACACGCGAGACACCTGCTACAAGCTGGTCGGGTATCCCGCTGGCCATCCTCGTGCCAAGCAAAGCGACACTCAAGCTCCCCGGCGATCCAAAGCAGCTCATGTGGAGCCGGACATCACCTCTCCCATTCCAGGCTTGACGACAGCTCAGTTTGGGGCTCTCAAAGATTTCTTGTCAAAGACGGACAACGACAATCATTCGGCTCCGACGGCTCATATGGCGAGTAATACTCCTGAACTTGACATGTGGTTGACAGACTCAGGCTGTAATGAACATATAGTTCGCGATATTAGTTGGATGGACTCTATGGTACAGACAGGAGGGCATTCGCAGGTTCGGATTCCAGATGGAACGGGTGTTCCAGTTGTGGGCATTGGAAATGTTAGACTCTCTAGTCATGTTCAGCTTCAAAACGTGCTCCATGTCCCGGCATTCAAATGCAACCTATTGTCTGTTAGCCGTTTAGCTCGTGATCATAATGTGGCGGTAACTTTCTTACATGATTTCTGCGTTCTTTAGGTCTTACCTTCCAAGACGCTGATTGGAGTGGGTAAGCTGAAGGATGGCCTGTACTACTTGCCCCGGTGTGGTGGGATGCGACTTGGTCAAGCATGTAAGGTGACGACTGAGCTAGCTCCATCCACTCTTTGGCACACTCGGCTAGGTCATCCGGGACTGGATAAGCAGAATCGATTGAAAGCCTTTGTGGATTGTAATTTTTCTCCTTCGGATTCCGTTCATTGTGATTCTTGTTTGAGGGCTAAACAGAGTCGGACCCCCTTCTTGAGTAGCATGATCAAAACTGCTGGTTGTTTCGATTTGATCCACGTTGATATTTGGGGACCTTATCGGACACCCTCTCTCGATGGATCTCGGTTTTTCTTGACCATTGTGGACAATTTCAGTCGTTCCACGTGGGTTTATTTAATGAAGCACAAGTCGGATGTTGAACGCTATCTTATGATGTTTTTCCACCTGGTTCGCACACAGTATGGTAAGCTAGTGCGCCGTATTCAAGCTGATAATGGCTTGGAGTTTCAAACGAATTCCCTACGTGATTACTACGAGGAAAATGGGATTGTTCTCCAAACCTCTTGTACGGACACACCTCAGCAAAATGGTGTCGTTGAGCGTAAGCACCGCCATCTGTTGGAGATTGCCCGGGCTCTCATGTTCCATGCCGGGCTCCCTGTGCGTTTTTGGGGTGATTGTGTTCTAACGGCTGCCTATCTCATAACCGGTTACCATCCTCGGTTATTGGATGGAAGACTCCATTTGAGATTCTTTTGGGGCGTACTGCTTCGTATTCGCATCTCCGCAGCTTTGGATGCCTCGCTTATGCGAAGGACACCCACCATGGTCTCGATAAGTTTGCTGAGCGCGGTCGCGCAGGTGTTTTTCTTGGTTACTCGGGTTCTCAGAAGGGCTATTGCATTTATGATTTGCGTACTCGGAAAATTTTGGTTTCCCGTGATGTGCAGTTCATTGAGAGTGTTTTCCCCTTTCATCTCCGGGCTACGGGGGCGACGAACTCGCCCGTCCAGCTGACACCTCCCTCGGCTCAACATCATTTAATGCCTGACCCTCCATTTTTTGATGGAGACATGGAACTTGCTGATCAGGTGGGGCAACAGCATGTTGAAGACCCTGTTGCCGAGAGCTCCTCTCCCATCGACGTTGCTTCACCATTGCATTCCCCCTCCCCGCCGGATCCGCTCGAGGCAGCACCCTCGCCCTCGTTCGCTTCAGGGGAATCCCCATGCATGGCCACGCTCAACCCTCCATCGGCGGTCTTCCCTACTCAACGTGAGTCCCCATGCATGGCACATGCAGAGACCACGTCGCCCACGCCTCCTGCTCCGGCTCTCCCACGACGGAACCCTCCACGTGATCGTCGACCGCCGACTCGCCTGGACGCTTATGAGGTAAACTTGCCCTCTGCCTCGACTGTACAATTTCCCATTTCGCATCACGTCACATACCACCGTTTTTCTGACCGTTATTGTGCTTTTTTGGCTGTTGTGTCCAATCATTTCGAGCCCCGGACCTATGCACAGGTTGTTCAATATGCACACTGGCGGGCGGCCATGCAACGAGAGATTGATGCGTTGGTGGCCCAAGGGACGTGGACATTGGAGTTCTTGCCTCCCGGGAAACGTGCAATCGATTGCAAGTGGGTTTAGAAGATTAAGTTCTTACCGGACGGTACTATCGAGCGCTACAAGGCTCGTTTGGTAGCCAAAGGTTTTACTCAACTGGAAGGGATCGATTTTCACGATACCTTCGCTCCGGTGGCCAAGCTGGTTACCGTTCGAGTCCTTCTGGCTGTTGCGGCTAAACAAGGGTGGTCATTACATCAACTCGACGTGAACAACGCATTCCTCCACGGTGATTTAGATGAGGAGGTGTACATGAAGATCCCTCCGGGTTTCAGTCGCGATGGTGATCACAGAGTTTGTCGACTTCCGAAATCGTTGTATGGTCTTCGCCAGGCTTCTAGGAATTGGTACACTAAATTCACTGAGGCACTTTTGGAGTTTGGCTTCAGCGTCTCCAAAGCAGATCCCTCCCTTTTCCTGTATCGCCGCCATGGTGCCTTTGTGGCCATTTTGATTTATGTCGATGATGTCGTGATCACAGGTTCTGCTGTCGATGTCATTTCCCAGGTCAAGGCATTTCTACATCACCGGTTCAGCATCAAGGACTTGGGTCCTCTGAAGTACTTTCTTGGCATTGAAGTGGCACGATCCCCCGATGGCATTGTGCTCAGCCAGCGCAAGTATGCCCTTGACATTCTTGCCGATTTCGGGATGATGGCTGCTCGTCCTAGTGGTTTTCCGATGGAACAAAACCATAACATGACACGACCCACAGAGGAGTGGCTGGATGATGCTCACTCCTATCGTCGGCTGATTGGGCGCCTGTTATATCTCACGATCACTCGGCCTGACATAGCCTACTCTGTGAACTTGCTTAGTCAGTTTGTGCAGTCACCTAGTCCGGATCACATGGCAGCTGCTCATCGTGTGCTCAGGTACCTCAAAGCAGCGCCTGGTCAGGGTTTGTTTCTTCCCTCTGCTGGTTCGCTTGAGCT